GAAGAAGAGAAGAAAGAAGAGGAGGGGGCGGGGGGGGGGGGGGGGGGGGGGGGGGCACTGACCTGTGTGTTCCGTGGGCATTTTGCTAGCTCATGGCTTTGTGTAAAGCAGGGTTCTTTACCCAGGGTTCCTTATCTGGCTGTTAACATAAGGACACTGATGGTGCACCTTCACCTGCTGGGGTAGGGCCTATTCTAGTCTGGCTGATGAATTGTTTGAAATGGAAAGAAATAGGCAGTCATCAACAAGGAGGTGGCATTCAGTCATCACCAGCAGTCAGAGGCTGGGGGTGGTGCTGTTACCCTGTAGTAATGTTGTAGTAACACACCAACAACCTGGTGGCTTTATCTTAGCTGGCTTGGAGTTGGGTCTGGTGTCTGTCAGGACAGGTTGTCTCCAGGGCAAGAGGGAAAGGACATGTGTGGTCTTCCTGTCAGTGTGATTTGGTTGTTAGATACTAATGTGGAAACCTTGGCAGAGATCTGACCCAGCCTAGGATTGTCTTTCCTCAGACATTACATCCTGAGGATGGCTTCTTCCTGGACACAAAAGTTATACAGGGGACCTGGATACATCTTCGAGCTGACTGTAATATCTTGACCTTCTAAACTTTCAAATTTTCAATATTGTAAATCATAGATCCTATTTAATAAAAGGAATTTGCTCATTTGCTCTTTATGTGTTTTCGCCTTTGCTTTTATTCTGCAAGGCCACATGGAATGTAAGATCATTTCCTTCCTTTCGCCTTTGCTTTTATTCTGCAAGGCCACATGGAATGTAAGATCATTTCTTTCCTCCTCCTTCCTTCCTTCCTCATCCTTCATTCCTCCTTCCTTCCTCCTCCTTCATTCCTCCTTCTTTCCTTCTTCCTTCCTCCTCCTCCTCCTTCCTTCCTTCCTTCCTCCTTCCTTCCTTCCTTCCTCCTTCCTTCCTTTCTTCCTTCCTCATCCTTCGTTCCTCCTTCCTTCCTTCTTCCTTCCTCCTCCTCCTCCTTCCTTCCTTCCTTCCTCCTTCCTTCCTTCCTTCCCATTAAATGCAATGTCTTTCTTCCTTCCTTCCTTCCTTCCTTCCCTTACTCCTTCCTTCCTTCCTCCTTCCTTCCTTCCTTCCTTTCCTCCTCCTTCCTTCCTTCCTCCTTCCTTCCTTTCTTCCTCCTTCCTTCCTTCTTCCTTCCTCCTCCTCCTTCCTCCCTTCCTTCCTCCTTCCTTCTTTCCTCCTTCCTTCCTCCTTCCTTCCTCTTCCTCCTTCCTTCCTTCCTTCCTCCTTCCTTCCTTCTTCCTTCCTCCTCCTTCCTTCCTTCCTTCCTTCTTCCTTCTTCCTTCTTTCCTTCCTTCCTCCTTCTTCCTTCCTTTCTCCCTCCTTCCTTCCTTCCTTCCTTCCTCCTCCTTCCTTCCTTCCTTCCTTCTTCCTTCTTTCCTTCCTCCTTCTTCCTTCCTTTCTCCCTCCTTCCTTCCTTCCTTCCTTCCTCCTCCTTCTTTCCTCCTCCTTCCTTCCTTCCTTCCTTCCTCCCTCCCTCCTTCCTTCCTTTCTTTTTTATAAGTAACCCTCACTTATTTTTTCTAATTAACTTTTCCTTTTTTTAATTCTTTTTTTTCCCCTTTTATTTTATGAGAAAGGATTCTGTTTTGTGGTCTGGAAGTACCATGGAGCCATGCTGGGCTCAAACTCGGTGTCCTCTGGCTTTTACCTACCAAGTGATGGGATTAAAGGCTTGTACCACCATGCACAGCTGCAGAAATGACCTTTATAAAATGGACATAATCTGGACTAATGACTTTTAAT